TTTTTTTTCCTAAAATTTAAGTGATATTAGTATATGCACTCCAGCTCTCTTTCAGATATTGTTTGCATGGTATATTTTTTTCCATCCTTTTAATCTATTTGTGCATGTGAATCTAATGTATGTATGTCTCACGGGGCACCTGGGTGGTGCATTTGGTTGAGCAGATCTGACTCTTCGTTTTGGTTGGGGTCGTGACAATGAGCTCAGCACTGGGCTCTGGGCTCAGTGCTGAAGTCTGCTTAAGACTCTCTCTCTGCCTGCCCCCCCACCCCCCAAGGCTCTTTCACTCTCACTCAAAGTAAATGAATCTTGGGGCACCCCTGGTGGCTTAGTCACTTAAGTGTCTGCCTTCAGCTCAGGTCATGATCCCAGGATCCTGGGATCAAGCCCCACATCAGGCTCCCTGCTTAGCAGGGACCCTGCTTCTCCCTGTGCCCCTCCCCCTGCTTGTGCTCTCTCTTTCAAATAAATAAAAAAATCTTAAATAAAGTAAATGAACCTTTAAGAATAGTGTGTATGTCTCGGGGTACCTGGCTGGCTCAGTCAGCATGCGACTCTTGATCTCAGGGTCATGAGTTTGAGCCCCATGTTGGGTTTAGAGTAAAAAAAAAAAAAAAAAAAAAAGTGTGTCTCTTGTAGAAAGCCTATCCTTAGACCATGTTAATTTATACTGCCAATCTCTGTCTTTTGACTGGAGTGCTTAGTCCATTTACATTTAATATAATTAGATAAGCATTTATATCTGCCATTTTGCTATTTTCTCTGTCTTAGGTCTTTGTTCTTTATTACTGCCTCCTTTTGTGTTTAAATAGATCTTTTTCCAGCATACTATTTTAATTCCTTTGTTTCTTTTAGTATACTTTTTGAAGTTCTTAATGATTGCACAGGGATCACAACTGACATCTTAAAATAATCTAGTTTGTATTAATGCCAAACTAATTTTAATAGTATACCAAAACTGCTGCACTAGAACTTCCCTCTCCTTTCTTTGTACTATTTCATACAAATTATGGCTATTGTTATAAACCTATCAACTCAATTTTATACTTTAGGCAGTTTTTTTAATCAGAAGAAAAATGTTGTGAGCAAACATACATTTATGCTGTCACTTATATTTACCCTTGTAATGACCTTTACTGATTTATTTATGTGGATTGAGTTACTGTCTAGTGTCCTTGTATTTCAGCCTAAAGGACTTCCTTTAGTATTTCTTATAGGACAAGTCTACTAGTGATGAATTATATTTGTTTATCTTGGAATAATTTAATTTCTCTTATTTTTGAAGGATAGTTTTGCTAGGTATAGAGTTACTGGTTGGTGATCTCTTCCTTTAGCACTTTGAATGTGCCAGCCTACTGCTTTCTGACCTCCCTGGTTTCGTTTCTTTTTTTTTTCTTTTTTTTTTTTTTAAGATTTTATTTATTTGAGAGCGAGAG